GGGTAATGTACCTCGAAACAAGGAATGACCGCTTTCATCCAGGTTCCATCAAATTCATCAACCACGGCTATCGTTCCCTTTTACCTTATACAAACTATCAGCTTCGACTAAGTTCCGTCGGGGCTCTCGCGTTCGCCAGATCAGCCGATACGACTCAGGATGAAATTCAATAAGACTCCCCACCACCAGACTCGGCTGAAGTCAGGCACATGGACATGCAGAGAAGTACAGCATCTGGTTTTATGGGGACCGTCTGGGTCACAGATTGTACTGCTGAAAAACAGACGCAGCTGACTGTACCGATCCGCTTTACTAACTACAAATTTTAGCATCACATGTCTGCTTCGCAGAAATAAATACAAGCAATTTAGTGTATCATAAAGTAAAGCTATCCCTATAGCAGGCCGTGAAGGCCCATAGGGCTGTGAGACGTTGAAGGTCCCACATTATCTAGACAATCGGCTCAAATATGGCGGTAAAGTTGTCGGCCTTACGCGCCGGCCGCTCTTTACTCCCCAGGAATATTATTTAATTAATTCCTGGTACTCATTTCTGTTAGAGGTGAGTCGACCCCAGGACCATATTGCGGCCGGAAGGATTAGGTCAAATGAAAAAATCCATTGACCTCATCGGGACTTGAACCCGCGACCTTCCGGCTTGAATCATAATCAGTAAAAAATAGTAATATCTCGAGTAATAATTTGAAGCATTAAATTCACTCACATAACAGAGACAATTCTCTTCGGCTTCACTCAGACAGCTAACGGTAGTAATGCTATACGTAACTTACATTTAATTTTACTAATGTGTTAAAGTCAGTCCGAAATTTACAACAATTAATATGTACTTAGCTAAGTCGTAAGTGTTACGTGAGGATGCCTATCAACTTCAAGTCAGTTCTGACGGCTCTCATGTAACATTTTAATAAATAAATGCATTAAGCATAAAATATTTGCCAGTTTCTAGATTTGTTCCTAAAATCGTCAAGTGCATGTTTATGTTGCTTAAACACATCGTGGGCCGGTCACAGTAGCCGAGCGGTCTAAGGCATGTTCTGTCTTCGCTCGCTTGGAAACCGGGATCGTGGGTTCGAATCCCACTCAGGCCATGGATGTTTAGTTTGTGTGTGTGCGTTTCTCTGTGTTTGTGTACAGGTAGAGGCCTTGCGACGAGCTGATCACTCGCCCAAGGAGTCCTACCGAATGTGTATGATCAAGAAAAACCGAAGTGAACGGAGAAGTTCATGGAGGTAGGCCTAGGCCCACTGGGGCTGTAGTGCCAAGAGAAAAAAAAACACATCGTGGACCCGGGTTCAACTACGCCTCAGCTGTCGAAATTGACCACCATAGTCTTGCCTATTGAGTTACGTTACATATAATTAGAAATCATAAATACGGGACGTATACATGGCCGCTTTATTTAACTGGCAAAGTGGGCAGCTGAAACGCGCTGAGTTCCTGTTAGCATTTCAATGGAGATAGCGAATGGGAGGAACTATGCAATGCGTTGCAAGCGGGCTCGGTTATTGGAAGTACTGCCTCTGTGTTATTCGCATGTAGGGATTGAGAAAGAAGCACGAAAATACTTGAGAGAGCTGAATCCAACCAGGTACTAAGTTATCACTTCTTTTTCTCCGCATTGTTGTTGTTGTTATTATTATTATTATTATTATTATTATTCTTTGACGGATTAGATCCTCTGACCTCGTCCCATTCAAAATTTATCTGAACCTGTGAAATCTACAGGCATCTGATAGGACTCTTTGTATATGTGATCAATCCTTCGCAAGGCTAGAAAGAATGAAAAAAAAAGAAGACACACGGACATACACCAGTGCCTCGAGTAAGATTTGAAGCCAGAATCCAAATTTTTGAGAGGGTGAAGACATTTCATGCCTTAGACCGCTTGGCCACTGCGGCCGGCCAAAGTTACCGCTATGTTGATGTATTAGATGTGAATTGGCACAAAGATATAAACACAGACTGCGGAATGGCTAAGTTCCTCACGACAAGGAGCAGTAGACAACTGATGTAGTCGTGTTGTGTCAAGATATGACAAATTAATTTTTGAACCTCTCAACCAAGCGAACAATGAGACATCCTAGAACGACTGAATTCATGATGGGCTTGCTAATATTTAAAGAATACATTCCAATCACTAATGACGCCTAAGTGTTATGCACCCCAACAGTCAGTTGAGTAAGAAGGGACTCATATCGTGTAGGCGTCATTTGAAGTTGCGAAATGGGTACGGTTACTGACTACATGTTGACCTTACTATCGCAGCGGAGGGGAACAGAATAAGCAGAGACAGATTCCGAATGACGTCGTATATCTACGAGTAATTAGGTCGGATATTGGTGGCATAATCGTAATCTTGGGTCTCAAATCTCCGTAACAGCAGTGATAACGCGTTGTTATATTGTAAGTGCTCATTAAGTTGAAGGCACGTAATTATTAGAAATTATTATAAGGTAAGGTCAAGCTGGCCGGTCACGGTAGCCGAGCGGTCTAAGGCATGCACTGTCTTCGCTCGCTCGGAAGCCGGGATCGTGGGTTCAAATCCCATTCAGGGCATGGATATCTAGTGTTTGTGTGTCTGTGTGTATGTGTGTGCTCTCGTTTATCTGTGTTTGTGTATAGGTAGAGGCCTTGCGACGAAGGGATCACTTGCCCAAGGAGTCCTACCGAATGTCTAAGGACTAATAAATCGAAATGAGACTGAGTTTGGTCGCGAAAGAGCTCAAGCGGTTAGTCGCTGTCTTCCCACCGCGGCGGCCCGGGTTCTATTTCGTATTCGAGACGCCTTGGCTTCAAATCTCGAAAAGGATATCTGCTATCCTGAATGAGGATTTTCGTGTTTTTTTATAAATAAATTTTTAAACACATGTTGAGTAATTTGAAGAACGAACGAGGACAGAATGAGGAATTAGGAAAGAGACAAAAGTAAAATTCTATGAGGAAACGATAGGCCCTGTGCTCTTATACAGTACTGAAACATGGATGTCGTAGCGGAGATACTGGAATAGATTTCGAGCAGCAGAAATAAAATGCCAGACTTCTCTCAAATTTACCTTATGGCAAATAAACTAAACTAAACTAAAAAAAAAATCCGTGGTTTTAGTCCGCAAGCGAACCGCTGTTTGTCGGTGAATTTAGTGCCAACTTTAGCGGATAGAGGGTGTAGGATGGTCAGCGTAACGAATCCCCACGGCCATTAATTTCGGTTTTCTAGGCCGGAGCCGCTACTACCAGACCCACTACTTCTCAGAAAATCTGGTAACCCCGGGAATCGAACCCGGACCTCTGAATTTGTAGGCAGAAAGTCTGAGCACTAGACCACAGAGGTGGTTCCTTATGACAAATAAATTATCAAAATTCTATGGGTGTAAGAAATGAGTTAGTTATTGTCTTTATGTGGAAAAATTATCGAATACAGAGACAAATAAAAATTAATTTTGAGAGGATGAACAGGACTCGCATTCCACTTCAAGCCTATAAATATCGTCCATCTGGTAGACGAGACATAGGAAGACAAAGAAGTGGAAGGAGACGTAACAATATTGGTACTGGAGGCTTGATCAGGTGATTTCCCTAAGTCATGAAGTTATAATAATGAAGATGATCAGTGTTCAGGCAAATGATGGGTTAGGAGGTCTTCCTCAAATAAAGCCACAACTGCCTCCTTCCACATCCTTTCCAATTCATGATTAGAGAAAGTTCTGTCATTCCACCCCACATATTAATGAGTTTCTGCGAACTTCATTAAGTAAACCATAAGGAAATAGGTAACTAAGATAGCTGTAGGTGAATATCGAAAATACAAACTGGAAAATGATGTTTGCTAAGGCCACACAAAACAAGTTCATATTTTTAAGTGGAATCTCGAATATGAGCAAAATCATAAATCATAAAACAGAAACTGCACACCTGATGTTTCATTGTTACTGGTAGAATTCGCTTAGTGATGGGTGGAGACCAACTGGGTCCACTGATTGGTCTATTGTAGCCTGCACCGGCTGATCATGAGAATTTGGTGGAATGAAAATTGGCAGGGGAAACCGAAGTACTCGGAAAAAACCCGCCCCAGCGCCACTTTGTCCACCACAAATCCTACTTGACTGAGGTTAGCTCTTTCTAACAGTTTCTCAATCCAGCATATTTTACCCGAGAACTGAAATGAATCCAGTTTCTGAAACGTCTGTGTTCTTTTCGAAATATTGAAAAGGGACAAAGTGCAGAAATCCAGTAACCCTAAGTGTATTACACTACCGTTCAGGTTTGTCTCTGATTTCTTTTCAAATCTGGAACTTGGCGTGATTAAAGCTGTCCTTAGTAAGAGTAAAAGACACTTCTGTGTCTTCAGAGTCCGCTGACTGGAGTGCATCTGACAGTAACTTGCTCACAATAGTAGGCTCAATGAATGAAACTTAATCACAAGTTTCCTGGGGTCTCAGAGGGAACGTCACGAACAGGGGAACTCGTCGAGGAGACTGGAAATTTATAAAACGCTGCAGGCAGATCCCCTACAGCTCCTGTTCGTGGTGGCACGACAAGTAACTCCCACTCCTCCTGTCACAACACACAATGAAAGGAAACCCTCTCGAAACAACTTTAAATTAAAAAAGAATCCAGTTACACGTTCTAGACAGAGAAGAAGAAATAGCTGAATCAGTATAGTTACTTACTGATGGCCGGACGCCTGGGACTCGATCGTCGGCAAGGACAGAGTTTCTTGTCAGATTTGAGTTTTCCACGACTGTGAAGATTCAGGGGGAGACGAGGAATGCGTATAGGATATTGAAGAAAAGAGACCACTGGAAAGACCAAGGCTTAGGTGGGTGGACAATGTTAAAAATGGGACTTACAGAGATAGGATGGGATGGATTGGATTGATCTCACTCAGAATAGGGACCAGTGGAGGGCTCTTGTGTAAACGGTAATGAACCTTCGAGTTCCGTAAAATGTTGGGAAATTCTTGAGTAGCTGCAGATTTGGCGGTTCCTCAGGTAGGGCTCAGCTCCATGAGTGAGTGAGTAAGTGAAGATTCATGTTGTATTCTGGGTGGTGAGGACTGCCGTTTCAGCCTCCACAAACTACCATGAACATGAAGGCAGCATGTCCCACCCAAACGCCTTTACCCATCTACCAGACTCTAAAGTGTCACAATCCGAAAGATCACAGAAGAAATCTTGACTCTTCTTTCGGCTTCCAGACCGGTTTTGCGTCCCCAGAGCCCTCTATCAGGAAAGTGCTGGGGTCTCTGTTCCAAGAGATGACGACCATATTTAGAAGGTTCCAAACATCGTCTTGGACGGCTGAAAAAAGGTAATTTAGTTACTGACGAAATTTGATTTAAAAATATAGCGTCGACGAACAAGAAACAGCAAGCGAGTCTACAAGATAAAATGTAGTTATTGTGAACTGATACATCAACTCCTCTTTATTGGCTACTACGAATGTAAATAACACAGAACAAAACGACAAATGTGTAATTTGTGTAGGATTGGAAGTTCCTACAGCGTTGAGTTCTCTCTCCTGGTATATAATAAGACTACATGGCGTTACATACTGGATATGTCTTTTTTTCACTAGGTTACTTAATGACGCCAGCTCACGCTGGTTCATTGTTCGTGAATTTCTTATACCCTGAAGGTGGAGGCTATATATTCCTGCGACACTTCGGCTAACAAATTATCTACACGGCGCTACATCCCAGAAGACAGTATGCTTCATGTCACAGAAGTATTTGCAAAAACAGCCCAACTCCCTAGAATAATATGTAAAAAAATGTAGAGATTTTAACAAATATTCAACGTTCGCGTGGACTGAAAAGTGAACTAATATTGACAGCAAGTGAAATAACAAGATTGCACATGTCGAAAAAATGCATGAACGTTAAAAACACAAATTGTTAACGAAGGTTAAAACGTAGGTCTGTAATAATAACTGAAAGAGAAAGGTAGCCTATATAATTAACAAGTAAATATTTAATCAAGCAGAAATAAAACAGCTGAAGTTCTTGATAAAGAGCTCAAATTTTTGTTGCTTACAGCTGAATTCCGTGATAGTCATACTTTGTGTTTCCTCAGAGAAGATAAAGGGCGTCTATTGTACTGGCGCATAACAATGTATAAACAAGACGTTATGAGAAGTTCTTATGACCCCTGCGTCCTTTCAGATACTTCCATATGTTTCACTGGGTTCATAGGATAGCTGAAACATTTCTGTGCGCCATTTTCAGTGGCAAAAATCCGACTACTTTCAAATTGTTTGTAGCCTGTAACTTTCACGTCTTTGTCACCTTCATAAATATTGACACAAAAGTTGCATCGTATTTGTATATAGAGTAATAAATATTGTGACACGACGCCTGAAAGCCGGAATTGTGGAGTCAGATAGGATGTTGACTTCCTACGCAACGAGTATTAACAGAGCACGTTCCCGGTACAACAACTTTGGTTACTAAGGTTTTGAAGCATGCAAGGTAAATTTAACTGTTGAAAGTCGATATCCATGGCAACGACTCGTCCAAAGTGTAGTAACGGTTAAGAACGCAGTAACTGTACTGTTGAAAGAGGTGACTTCTAAACAGTTCTCCGAAATTTTATAACCGGGAAGCGATTTACCAGACGGAGGAAAAGGAGCAGCAGCATATGCAAAAGACAGACCCGTCCTCTCGTCAGAGAGGGCGCCCACAAAGAACAAGAACCTAACTGTCAAACAGTAATAAAGTTGTGGTCGCAAGCCCCAGATGGGTGCTCCATGCCAAGACAGACTGACCGACTGACCGTCAGTCGTAAAATGAGACTCAGACTTAGACTCAGATAGAGGAAATTCCGTGTGGAGGCGGGGTCGAATACCTCTACTGTAGCCCTGCGAGTCATAGGAGGCGATGAAAAGCGAAGTCTCGAATCTCAGACAGCATTATACTGTATGATCGCGAGTTCCAAGGGACTCGGACCCTAGAATGACTGCGCTGGTGAGTACCAATAGCAATTGTAAACGACAGACCCGTCCTCTCGTCAGAGAGAGCGCTCCACATCAACAAACCCGCAACTGTCTGACAGTAATAAAAATCTGGTCGTAAGCCCCAGATGGGTGCTTTATTTCAAGACAGACTGACCGACTGACCGTCGGTCGTAACATAAGACTCAGAAGGAAGAAGAACCCAGAAAGGATTCATTAAGTCAGGAATCCAAACAGAGACGCAGAAGGCAGAGAATCAGAAGTCAGAAGAAGTCTTTAGTTTATGTGGTGTTATCGTTGTTCGTAGTTACGAAGTGTTCTAGTTACAGTAAGATATAAAGTGCTATAATCAGTTGTAGTTCCGCCTCATGAAGATCCAATAAATCGACTTACAGAGTCAAAAAGTAAAAAGTAAAGCTATCTCTGTACCAGGCCGCGAAGGCCCATAAGGTTGTGAGACGTTGAGGGTCCCACACTATCTAGACAATCGGCTCAAAAATGGCGGTAACATTGTCAGCCTTACGTGCCGGCCGCGCTTTACTCCCCAGGAAAATTATTTAATTAATTCCTGGTACTCATTTCTGTTAGAGGCTGAATAAACCCCAGGGCCTAGTGCGGCTGGAAGGACTAGGTCAACTGAAAAAATCCAATGACCTCAACAGGACTTGAACCCGCGACCTTCCAGCTTGTAGCATAGCCCCTCAACCAACTACGCTACCGCGTGCCCCCCTTACAGAGTCAAACCCATCTCAAAAGTCACTCCTACATGCGACAAGATATCCCTTCGGAAAGCCCGACAATAATTCAGAATCACAGTACACTTGTGGCCATGAATTTGGTCTACAAAGTGATTCTAAATTATCGTCGGGTTTTCCGGAGGGACTTCAGAATTATCCTGTATATGCTTATGATCTATTTCCATATAAAATATTACGTTTTTTGTAATCTTTCATTATACATCGTCGTCAATCAGAGAGCTAAAACAGATTTCCACGATTGTCGTATTTTGTTTACGTCGTACAAAAATTATCTTTTGAAAGTTGCACGATTTCAGAGCCCTAGCACGATACTGCATTTCTTAACTGTAGATTAATTTTATTGCTAGTGGGGTGGGACTAAGTCCCTTGTACTGCGGCCACTTCTGGCCTATTGCACCAGCCCCAGATGATAGGTGAGGGTGATTGTGAAGCAATTGGTGGAATGAAGATTGGCAGGGGAAACCAAAGTACTCGGAGGAAACCTGCCCCAGCGCCACTTTGGCCACCACAAATCCCACTTGGCGAGACCGGGGATCGAACCCGGGCCGCTGCGGTGGGAAGTCAGCGGCTAACCGCTTGAGCTATGGCGCGGCCCTAACTGTACATTAAGTGGAGATGTGCTCCATCCCAGCTCAGAAATTCACACGACCATCATGCTCCTGTTATCCACATTGGAAATTGAAGGTAGAAAATTGGGGCGATCTCCAGCGGGTTGATATTCATACCAAGCTCCGTGGAAATCCTTAATTGGGTGTTCTTATGTTGTATAAGTCCTTGTTTTCCTACTTTTTTCCTTGGCACTACAGCCCCAGTGGGCCTAGGCCTACCTCCATGAACTTCTCCGTTCACTTCGGTTTTTCTAGATCTTACACATACGGTAGGACTCCTTGGGCGAGTGATCAGCTCGTCGCAAGGCCTCTACCTGTAGACAAACAGAAAAACGCACACAAACATCCATGCCCTCAGTAGGATTCGAACCCACGATCCCGGTTTCCAAGCGAGCGAAGACAGTGCATGCCTTAGACCGCTCGGTGTTTTCCTATTAAGGTCCTACATTTATTCGTGAGTTCTGATGTGCGGGTACGTAAAGTACAGTCACTATTGAAGAATGTCGCCTTCTGGAGTGTGGCGCCGTTTAGAGCTTGTGCAAACCGACGTTTCGGAAGAACGTATCGCCACCATCTTCAGGGTAGAAAATTCCGCGAGCGAGAAACCAGCGTGAACAGGTCATCATCTCCATGAACACCGTACGACACGATTCAATGAATTTTAAGAGAAAAGCCTGTATATTTCCGGTTAAATGTAAATTTGTCAGTAACAAAGTAATGCAAACAATTTCTTTATTAAGACCGTCACAACACAACTATATTAAGGTCAGTGCCTAGCTTGGCTCTTCTACATGTTTCGGCTATTAAAAGCCATCATCAAGCAAATACATGGCTGACATATATACACCACTGAACTGCAGTACTAGTAAAATTGGATACAATAATATTAATTATATTAAAAATACTTGGCGTAAGAATACAATCAATTAGACTATATAGATCAAAAGTTATAGTATAAAACAAGAATAAAATTCTTCCAGTGATGCTTTCAATCATCAAGTCAGTCGTTGGTTTTTGTGATTTTGTTGTGTTCCCACGGACAAATTGGAGTATTCTGTATTTTGTGTGTATAATAAACTGTTTTGGAGGCTCGTGATGTAGATGTAGTAATATTAATGTTAATTATTTAGTCGGTGCCTCATCTTCATTCATTATTAGACTTAGACCAGTTATTTGTCCATTGTGCGTCCCCCTTTAATTTCTACTGTCGCCATACCATTCCAGTACTGGTGCTCGCTATCAGCCCCATTCTGCCACCGAGGTCGGCCCTCTTCTGGTGGTGTCCCATCTTAGAAAGTGTTGTCTATTCTGTAGGAAATGTAAACAACGAGTCTCGCGCATTTACAATGTAATCTGCCACATTGCTAGTACTACTACTACTACTACTACTACTACTACTACTCTGTGGACGCTACAGTACATGATGAACCTTGGCATCTGTTTTACAGTTTCTTACTCCTATAGACTGTCGGTAGGATTTCTTAGGCGGAGGATCAGCTTGTCGCAAGGCCACTACCTGCATAGGACAACATAAACACAGAGGAACTGTAGAAAAGCATCTATATCTCGAGTGGAATTCGAACTGACGACCCCAGTGGTTGAGCAGGAGAAGACAGTTCAAACTTAGACCGCGTGGTCACTGTGATCGGCAGCTTGTGAATACTAGTAAATGAAAAGTATTCTGTTAGACATGTCTCAGAATTTCGTGGAATGATCTTTCTTATTCATCTTCATAGTGTTTACGTCCCTATAAAGATGGCAAAATGCTTCCCATTTAATATAGTGACAATGATTATCTGTTGAGGTACAAAATTGCTTTATTTGTGTGATATACAGAACACTTCACGATTAATGAGAAAGTTCCTGTAAGTTGTTCTAGATTAAGGACAATGATATTACCTATATATTTACGTCAAAAGTAAAGCTATCTCTGTAACAGGCCGTGAAGGCCCATAGGGTTGTGAGACGTCGAGGCTCACACGT